GAGGAGAATGTTGGTAATCCAAATAAAGGCTGGAGTCGATGAACAGTTGCTTTGAAGCTCTTAATGACAGAATATTCCGGGCACCCACGAATTACAGACAATGGCTGCGCGTCACGAGTGCGAAGCAGGAAGAGCTTCACATCATTTTTATACCATCGGAAGGGCGGTACCGAGACACAAGGTGTGATATCATAACTTTCGTTTCTCCTAAACCAATTCTCAGCTTGGCGCATTCCAAAGTTTGTGCGTCTTCAGCAGGGAGTATTCCAATTCTAGGTGATGATTGTTACAAAGACGCAAAGCTATACTGCGAACATGGGAAAGTTATACAGCATGACTGAATATGAGCAGAGTACAAACTAAATATGAGCAGTCTTCTGCCCTAGCCATGCGTTTGAGATGAGAGCACGGCGTAGACAGCGAGCTAAACAATCCTCCAATAAAAACACGGAGATGAGAATCCAACGTTTGGTATTTTTATGGAGTCTTTCTTGTAAAACTGTACACAAATAGAAACACAATACAAATGTTTGTATAACGTCCAATTATACATATGAAATGATATTCAACACTCTTGTAACAGCCCTATTCTCTAACATTTCCAACAAATCTATGGTAAATATCTACAAAGATTAATTGGTGAAATACTTATATATGACGATGAATAACTTGCTCAGCCAAGAGTGGTATATACAACTGGGTAAATGTTTGAGTTCGTTGTTTTGCTTTCACGAGTGTAGTGAAGTCTATATTCTGCTTATTCTGCCCCCAGTAATTGTATTACAGTGCAGTGGAGTGCCCCTAGTGATGGAAGTATTGCATGACAGTTTAGTACAGTGGGTGGTGCTAACCACTTCCACCACTAGGATCACTGTACTAAACTGTCATGCAATACTTCCATCACTAGGGGCACTCCACTGCACTGTAATACAATTACTGGGGGCAGAATAAGCAGAATATAGACTTCACTACACTCGTGAAAGCAAAACAACGAACTCAAACGCGTGTTCGTTCAGTGTTGTCAACTAATATCCGGATAAATTGTAAGCAATTTTTCCTCAATTTTCCGGAGGAATTTTCATCAAGATTTGAAAATTCAGAACTCCGGTAAAATACGGAGGACTTTCATCACTGTTAGTCGCAGTGGCGGTTCTAGATCAATTTCACTGAGGGGGCCTGGCTGGGGCCAGGGGTTTTGATCGAGGGGCACATTCAACCCAGGACAAAAAAGAAAAAGATTCGAAATCTTCTTTGACTTTTTATTTTCATCAAACTTTTCAACCTTTGCACACATTGCATTACAGTGATGATGAAAAACTGTAATAATCACAGTAGTACAGAATTAAGTGCTGATAAAAGATTCATATAGGTGCAGATCTTGTGGAACAGTCTTAAACTGCCCCTACTATTACAGCAACTACATTCTGCAATTTTGGTGATTTCTGGCAAACCGTCCAATGTGATTCAAGATTCAGTGCTTTTGACCTCCGAGACTCAATGCAAAGTCCACCAAGATTGCTTAATCTATCATCATTCATAGTGGACATGAGGTATGTTTTCCCAAGATTTAATGTGGAAAAACTCTGTTCTGCATTGGCAGGTCTCCTTTACATTTGCTGATGTCTGTGGAGAAAGACAAACCGAATAGATGTAAACATAATTTTTGCATGGACACACGGAGACAGTCTCAGGATTTTCTTCTGTCTCTCTTTGCTGCTCTGTGTCCTCTCTCTGAAAATAAGTGTCTCCCGTGTCCTCTGACTCTTCCTCTGTGGGGCTCTCAACTTGCTCTTCTTTAGCTCTATCACCAACCATCATCTGGCTCTGTCTCAGTGTCTGAATCCTTTAGTTTCTTTTTCATGTAGAAATAGGATGGAATGCCCTTTTTTCTCTTCATTTTTAACTTTCAATTTTAACAGTGAAGAGGAATTACACTTCAGCAACCCTACTGTTGCGGGCTTGCTTGGTTTTGTTTTGTGGTCTTACCTTGACAATATCACTCGTCGTCGTGGTAATCTTGGGACTGCTTCTCTGGGGGCTGCTTCTCATCTTCGTGCTCATCTTTTTTCAGTGGTGCAGCGCACTAAAAGGTCCGACTAGAATGTTAAGCCAGGCACTTCAGTTCCACCTTTGGCGTCGGTGACTAGGAGCTACTGCAGCCTTCCTCAACTGGTGGACCGCGATCCACGACCGGACCGCCGACCTCCTCTGTCCGGACCTCCTCTGTCCGGACCCTCGGCAAATTGTATAAAATAATAAATTATAAAGTGATTTTTACGTTATACATTTTATATTTGTGGACTATAATCTGCGCATGACCGCGATCGCTTGTTAAAATTATCCGTTTTATTCTTTGCGTGCACTAACAGATGTATTGCAGAGGACCGCAGCAGCGCGACTGTGTGTTGTATAATGTTTGACTAACTGGAGACCCTGGCTGAGCAGGGCATGTCGGCGATAACGATGCGCTGATTGGCTCCTCTGAACTTAAGGTGTGCCCATACATAAGCGTCAGCACGCGTCTATCCCAACACACACGCATTCAAAATGGATGATTGTGTCAGGAAACAGACGCATGCGCGACGCCACAGTTGTGCTCACAGCTTCAGTCCAGGAGAGCTGCACACAGACAATTAGACAAGACGAATCGCGGGAGGTTTCGATTGTGTGTTTCTTAAATGTCGTAATTAGTAGACCTTTGTGAGTTTTTTTCGCCACCATCTCAAACTTTCATCCGCGCGATTCCTCAGTTTTCGGACTAAAATAGCAACCCGCGTGCGCACATAACGTTATCTGTTTCGTCCCCCCAACATCATGAAAACAAAACAAAACGAAAGTAAATTAGAAGAAACACACTCACACACCACACCACAAACACCCATACAGACACAGTGAAATCGTGTTGATCACACAGGAGAGACTTGATCGTGTACAGTTAACTCGTGTGCGGTGACTTTTATGATTAAACGATTTTTCGGAACGGTCAAAATTACACTACAGAAACGACATGCTACCGGTAACGATTGTTACCGTGAAATCCTCAGGCCTGCCATAGTTTTTTGTTGTTGTTGTTGTTGTTTTGACTGAGAAATTTCCTTGCGTCCCAAAAACGCACATTATTTGGAACTGTGCGTCCCGCGGCAAAATTATGCGTCTAGGACGCGGGACGCAGAGGTAACGAGATGGCTGCTCTACGTTCTGGGGGGGGGGCACAGGGGGGTCCAGAATCAGTGCTACAGGGGCACTGGCCCCTGTTAGTCCTTCCCCAGAACCGCTACTAAGGTAGTAGCGGTCGCTGATGGTGTAGTTGTTCACTCGCCTGTCTTGAGTACGGTCAGCATGGGGTCTGTTTCTCCTCAGTGATGGTGTGGATGTGGATGGGAAAGGTTGTTCGTCTCTGTTCGTCTCTATATGTGCTCTGCAACTGACAGCCAACCAGTTCAGGGTGTAGTCTGCCTTTCATCTGAAGTCAGCCGGGATCGTCTCCAAACTGTTGTTCGTCTATGTGTACCTTGCAATTGGCTGTCAACCAGTTAGTTCAGGGTGTCCCCTACTGCCCGAAGAGAGCTGGGATAGGCTTCACCGCTTCCCGCGACTCTTGTGAGGATGAGCGGATCAGAAACCGGATAGATGTCTTGAAACTGTGGGTGTTTCATGTTAAACTTTTTGAAATGAAAAATAAAAAGCCAAGGTATTTCTTTTGTTGAATGCTATTGCGGTGGTGACATGCTATTTACCATGAACAGAGATGAAAGTGGACTTTTCTGAAAATTCCGGAAAAAAAAAAATATATGTATATATATATATATATATATATATGTACGTCACAATATTAAGTGGCATAGTGTTTATGGAAGTAAATATGGTCCCGCGTGTAC